ATCACTGTTCATGGTTCCAGTCAAAATGTTTCACACACTATTAATGAAGATGAAAGAACTGAATTCACTAGGCATATCAACCAAGAATTGATTAATGACCCTGATGTTAAGGATAAAATTCCGATCGATACAGATATTATGCAAATATTTGATGAAGGTAAGGGTAAATATAATTCGTTATTGAGTTTGTTAATAATATGATTTCTAACAATATAATGACATTTCTTAATAAGATGGGTTAATTCTCGCAAAACTTTTTAATGATTCCGTACCTGATACAATTGATGAACGAGTTCTAAATGTGCCTGTAAAGGGAAAGAAAGTCAATAAGTGCAAGATGACGGAAAATAATAATTCAGTAATTTTTTCTGCAAAAGGTATTGGTTGTAATGTAAATATCGGATCAGCTGATTTAATCGTAGATATAAAGCTTCACCCAGAGTTGTATCGACTTTTGGAAGATGATGAAACACTTGAACAATTTTTAAAATTACCTCCAGATCAAATTTTGTTACGATGGTTTAATTATCATTTGAAAGCTGCTAAATGGGATCGAAGGTTAAATAAATTTTTTTTATTACCCCGTCTTATGAATTGAATTAAAATCGTCATTTTATATAGGGTTAAGAACTTTAGCAAAGATGTCAGCGATGGTGCAAATTACACAATACTTTTAAATCAACTTAAACCTGAGCTTTGTTCACGCGATCCGTTAAATGAGCCTGATCTTCTAGAACGTGCCGAAAAGGTATTTAAAAATTGATTTCGATTAAATAATAAAATACTTGCTTTATATTTATTTATATTCTCCATATTATTTATATTAATAGGTTTTGCAAAACGCCGAGAAATTAGGATGCAGAAAATATTTAACTCCAAAGGCTCTTGTTGCTGAAAACCCAAAGTTAAATTTGGCTTTTGTGGCTCATATATTTAACACTACTTGGATTGCAGACGCGAAAATATCAATCTCACTTTTACTTTTTTCTACTATATTTTCATGATTTTTATCCGTAGTTGTTTTTTCATCATTTTGATATTTTGTATTTAAAAAATAGGGATGTTTAAACGGTCCCTAAACAAATATAGAAATTACGAGTTATAGAAGTATAATCGCTTATCTATAATTGTAATAATAAATTTTATGTATAAACTTTTAACGACAATTTTGGGGAGGTGTTACGAGTCAGGACAATGATTTGTTGTGGTGATATAAAGTAAATTTTGTGTGTGATGTAAATCAATTTTGTGTTGCGTTGTGATTTAATTTTTATTGATTTTGTAGTATTTTTTATAATATTTATGAAATTATATATTATAATTTTATTACAATTAACAAAAAAAATTACAAATTATTTTAATTATTTCGATTAAAATAAGTTGTTTAAGTGATTCTTTTGATAAGTTTTGATGATTATTATCTGATAAAGTATTGTACAGTATAAAGAAAAACTATGCTTAACAGCACAGCTTGATATAGGTAATCAAATATAATTCAATGATATTTGATAAAGAATTGGTAAACATGTTGCTAAATCATTCCAATTTACTTTCATCTGTATTTTCATCAAATTCTAATCCACAATAAATACCCCATTCATATAATAAATCATCAGAAGGATTATTAAGTTCATTAATAATTGAATATTGATAAATGCTATATCTTTAAATATTATTTTCTAAATGCATGTATTTAGGATCAAAAACGCAAGTTGCACGAAATAATGAACGAGTTGAATGATTTGGAATATGTAATTCAAATTTTTTGTATACTACCTGAAATGCTGCTTGAAAAATAAAATAAAAATCTGATGGATTAAAATGAAGTCATGTTATAAGATCTTCAAGTTCCATACCAAAATGAGTAACAATATTAGATTCAAGATAAGCTGTAAGATTCGTTAATCTTGTTTCAACATATGAAAAAACTGGTTTGTTTTATTGTTGAAAAAAATCCAGATCTTAAACAAATGCTTTAGTATAAGTTGAAATAAAATTTGTGTAGATTATAATAGTTCCTAATTGTTGTATATTTTGTAAAATTGAATAAAGATCACCTATTGCTTCATTTTTCAGATCATTTTCATATTCAAATTTGTAAAAATCTTGTTAATTTTAAATACGTTCTTTAATGTAAAAAACCATTTTAAACCAACTATTCTATCATGTTTTGTTTAGTAATGGTATTTTACATAGTGATGTAATTCCATTTATTCGTAGATGAGTTATATAATGAGCTTTTTGTATAGGTGACTTGACAAATGAATCCTTTACTTTAGCCAAAAAATTTTTTAAAAGTGAAAATTGTGAAAAATCACGCTAAGTTTCACTGTTTAAAACATATATTAAAATTTAATATTTATAATAATTAATAAATAATATAATAAATTTAATTTAAAGTAAACTTACCCAATTAGATTTAATATATGTGCAGAATATGGTAGATATATTAATTATGATATAATTGGTTTTAAAACATTACAATAATACTTTTTCATATATGCAACAGAATCAGAGAGAAATAAAAATAAAAAATTCAAAGGTATATTATAAAAAAGTAATATAGGAAAAGTGTTTTTGCAATTGTTGAATTATTAACTTGTTCCAAAAAATCAATAGATACTAATTTAGTATCTGAACGATATGTAAAAAAGGTATTAACTACATTTCGTATACAATCATCACTACTTTCATCCATAATAATACAAACAGGTTTAGCATTAAAAATTAATTTTAAAGTATCAACATGTTTGTGAAAAACTCTAGATAAGTATAATTGATGCAAAGTTAGTGCTTATGAAATTGCTCCTCCTTCTTTCAAGTGTTTTTTAAAAAAAGAAAGTAAGTGATTCACTTTTTCTAATAGGATATTTGCATTAGCAAATGCTTCTATTAAATCTTCTATCACTACTTTTTTTTTTGATTCTAAGGCAAGTAAAGTTGTTTGTAATGTTTGTTGGCTTTTAACTTTTTCATTTGTTTCAAAATTTTTTTTTGTAAAAAATGCTTTTTGCTTGCGTAATATGCAACTATTGTTGATTTATGTTTCCATTTTACTGAAAGGTCACAATAATTACAAAATTTTGTGACATTTGTGATATTTTGCGAAATATCATAGATCATTGTCTTTAGGTAGAGGTGATAAGTATAGTATGTCACGTGAAAAGAGATAATACAAAAAGATGTGGAGTCCTGTAAAGGTGATGAGTGATGTACAGTGATATTTATTATGATCACGTGACATTTGTGTGAAGCATACTCAAGTTATATATACCATCTCCAGTCCACATTAATTTTAGCCAATTAATCTTATTCATTACTTGATTAAATGTCACATGAGACGATGTACACCACTCATCATCTTTATAGGACTCTATACCTTTTTGTATCACTCTATGAAAAGCTATTGAATATAATTCAAAAAATTTATTATACTTATCTGTATATTTATTAGCATTCGAAAAAAGTGTTGTACGCTTCATATTTATATATATTTATACCCAACTGCCTTATTATAATTAAAGTTATAATATTATTTCTATATTATTTAATTAAGTATTCCATTAAAAATAAATATTCAATTTTATTATATTTCTTAAACTTTTCGTAATCAACTTAATTAAAAATTATTGCCTAATTAGTATTAGTTAATTTTAATTGATGCTCTTTTTCAAGATTAGTCAATTCTACTATATGAATTTTAGCTTCACTTTCCCTTAAAACAAGTTCATGCTCTTTAAGAACTAAATCCTTCTCCCAGTATTTAAGTTTATTAAATCTTAAGATCAACTTATTCTCTTTACCATTATCTTCATTTTTAACCTTAATATCAGAATCAATTACAATAGATTTTCTACTTCTTTTCTTATTATCAGATTGCACATTTTGTTTATACTCTATAAGCATTGATTTTGATTTCAAAATATTTGATTTCTTAATTTGTATAAGAGCTAATGCATAAATAAATCAAATAATCTAATTAGAATTCAATATTAATTAATTTAAAATATATTTTAGTGTATTATAATATGGATGAGTCTAATTGTAACAACCCATTACATATAATATATGTAACAATCTCAGAAAATAGGATCAGATTTGACCAAAATTATAGCATAATGCTAGCTGATTTTTCAAATAAAATAATCTATAATAAAATGGTTATTGGCATATGACATGTATTATTTTTTATAATGTATTTTTATAATGCTAATATAAATTAACGATAATTTTTTTATTTAAAAAGTCAAAAAAATTTTTCTACAATCCTTTATTAAAAGAACTAATATTCAACTGCAGCTATGATATATTATTCACATAGTCCATTTGGTTTTTGAAAAAAATTAGCAAATCTATCTTAGCCAATCAGATATATTTTACCTACCATACTTTTTTTAACTCTAAAAGTCTGTCTTAACAAAAAAAAAAGATGAAAAAACAACCAATTTTCCCGTCTAGCCCATTCTACATATCCAATTATCCCACCCTCATTCTCATCCAAATTTGCTAAGAAATTTAGAAATATATTCAGGATTTCGATTTTATATTATGATCTAAAATATTAAAAATTGATTAGAAGAGATAAAGGAATACAATGAATAAATAAATAAAAAAGAATAAATACTTACTAATTCTGACATCTTACACTATTATGTTCTGATTGATCACATGTATCACAAGTGTATTTTGCATGTGGTTTCTTTTTAGTTGATGATTTGTATCATTTTGTTTTAGGATGTCCTTTACGTTCTTTACGTTATAATACTAATAAATTTTCAATTAGTTCGGATTCATTTTCTTTGTTATATCATTAATTTGGTTTTCTCAATTTCATATTAATCCAGTATATGTAATTATTATTTCTTTGTGCTGATTAATAAACTATCTTAGCTATTTGATAATCTCACCATAACTGTCATATTTAATAGCATCTTGAGTTACCTGCCACACAAGTCCCTACACTTTCCCATATTTGGCCTTCTTTTTTACCACGCAATGTAAAACAGTAGTAACTGTTAAATGAATAGTTGAAAGATTTGGAGTAAATATTATGCCTGAAAAATTTTCTATAGCCTCATAGCTTATAAAGCAACAAGTCTCTGCTGCTGTATTATTATCTTTTTAATTATCAATATATCATCATAAAGGTATCATTTGGATTTGAAATCCTGCAACTGTTAAAATTATCATTACTTGAAAATAGTAGCGATAAACAATGCTACGGGATATATTAGACATGCAAGAACAAAGATAAGAAATAGGATCAACTATTACTATGAAATATACACATTTTTTTATTTTCAGATCACATATCTGTAATCTTTCATACTTCACGAATGCTATTTTCACCAACTTCAGTAATCATTAATTTTAAAAGAATTTGTTTAGCGTCATACAGGTCCTCAATAAATCCGTCTGTCACATTAACGCCTGAATCCTATATATCAAAAGTGTTAGACATTAAATTTTATTAATAATTTAATCCAAAAAATAGAATGCAAAATTACCTCAACTATGTCTGATCTAGCTTTATTCATAATAAAGTAAAAGTATTGTGACATTTTCAAACTAGAGTTCTGAATGAGTCAGATGAGCAAGTTTTTGTCAAACTCAACTCAATTTGAAAAAATTGAGTTGAGTCGAGTTAGGTCAAAAAATTTTTTAAACTTTAACTTGACTCGACTCGAGTTATTCACTCTGATTGAATAATAAATCATCATTCTAAAAAAATGATTAATAAAATCATTCTGATAGAACGATAATGCATCATTTTAAAAGAATGATAAAAAATTATTCTGATAAAATGATAATATATCATTCTAAAGGAATGATAGAAGAATCGTTCTGATAGAATGATAATAAATCATTCTTTTTGGAATTATAATCAGATTGTTTCTTAAAGAACAATAATAAATCATTTTTTTTGAAATAATAATCAAATCGTTCCTTAAGAATGATAATAAATCATTCTTTTAGAATGATAATCTTAGAATGATACTTTTTATCATTTTATCAGAATGATTCTTTCTATCGTTCCTTTAGAACAATGTATTATCGGTTTATTAGAATGACTCTCTCTATTATTCCTTTAGAATAATGCATTATCAGTTTATCAAAATGGTTCTCTTTATCATTCCTTTAGAATAATGCATTATCATTCTATCAGAATAATTTTCTCTATCATTTCTTTAAAATGATATATTATTATTCTATTAGAACAATCCTTTTCATCGTTCCTTTAAAATGATGTATTATTATTCTTAAGGAATAATTCTTTTATCATTTCCTAAGAACGATATACTATAGTTCTAAAGAAACGATTTTTTTTATTATTTCTATAAAATGATGATTTATCATTCTATTAGAATGAAACTTCTATTGTTCTTTTAGAACTATGTATATCATTCTAACTGAACAATTTTTTTTATGCTTTCTTTAAAAAAAAATTGTTAAATTTTTCAACTCAACTTTAGGCTCAAGTTTTGCTTGACTTTGGACTTGAGTTTATGCTCGAGTTTTACTTAACTTTAGGCTCAAATTTAGCTCGAGTTATCTTGAGCTGAGTCAAGCTTAACTTGAAACTCAACTCAAGTTAAACGAGTCAAATTTTTTATGACTTGACTCAACTTAACTCAACTCATTTGATTTGAAAGTTAGCTTGGCTCATTCATAACTCTATTATAAGTATTCAGCAAACAAGATATGAGGTGTCAAGTATTTAAACATCATTTTGTCAATATCAGAAAAAAAATCGTTGCTGACCAATGTGATTTCCATACAGGTCAATAGGATACAATCAGTGATATACATTTTCAATATTCCAAATATTTTGAGACAGTCCCACACTATGTTCCAAAATGTCTTACATTAAGTCCCAATATCCCAGGCCATGTCCCAAAAATATCCCATGACAACACTGTATACAAATATTTGAAAAAACAGTTCTATTACACTTCATTTCCAAGCTATGCATCAAGAATACTAACATCATCTAGGATTTGATCGTAAACTACTACACTAACTTGCTTTTGAATTCATTACTTAGAATTAGAGTTCCTCAAAATCGAATTGAATCAAATATTTCAGTAATTTAAATTTGATTTGATTTTTTCAAATTGAATAGAATTGAATCAAATATAAAATTTTTTTTTAATTTTTACAATAATATATTAAAATAAAGTTATTCTAAAGTTTTAATTAAGAAAATTATTATTAATTATACTAAAAAATTTCAAAGATAACTTTTACAAAGTAAGTTTAATAACAGATGAATTTTTACTATTAAATAACTTTGCAGTCTCAGTTTTACTAAGAAAACTTAGTAATAACTACCATTACAGTTTCAGTTTTACTAAGAAAATATAGAAATAACCGTTATCTCAGCTTCATAACCATTTTAGTAAAAAAACATTTTTGAAGCTGCAAATGTATTTTTTATTTTTTTAATAAAAAACATCTCTAAAGCTGCAGAGGAATTTTTACTATTTTTCTTAGTAAAAAAAACGTTTCCAAAATCGCAAAGGTGTTTTTTACTATATTTTCTTAATAAAATAATGTCTTTGAAGCTATGATGGTATTTTTTACTATGTTTTTCTTAGTAAAAAGTCATTTCTAAAGTTGTAAAGGCGTTTTTTGCTATAGTTTTCTAGTAAAAAAGGTATTTTTGAAGTCGCAAAAACACTTTTCATTATAGTTTTTTTAATAAATACTATATCTAAAACTTTTGAGATGTCTTTACTATTGATTTGAATCAAATCAAATATTTGAATACTTGATTTGAATTTGATTGAATTAAATCAAACATTAATTTAAATTTGATCAAATAAATCATTCTTTGATTTGTATTTGATTTGATTTTCAAATCGAATATTCAAATATCAGATCAAATTGCAAAACCCTACTACAACACTTTCAATTATTTGAATATTATCAATTAATTGCATCTTCTGATTCAACTATAAGAAGTGCATATATATCATTTTTTACACTATTATCATAATTTTTTTCTCAAATTTTTCTATATAATAAATATCATATAACATAATTGTTAAATACATTAATAATAATAATAATTAAATAAAACAAATTAAAATCCTACTCTTACCTTTTATAATATACATGATTTAACTTGAAATATGTATTAAATGCTTTTCCTAATCTTTTGTTACATCTATTTTATTCAATACTAATCCCAAACCTTTTGCTTGTGCATAACATAAATTTACAATAATACAATCCCATCCAATTCTATGAATATGCTTAAATTAAGAAAATAAAACTATTAATTGAAATACAAAATTAAATAATGCATGAAAAATTCTTTGAAATCAATAGTTGTTGCATAATTAGTAAAGACTCGAGCAAATGTAAAACTAAAATTATTAAAAATAAAATATAAAAAATTTAAATTAATATATAATTTTTTTATGAAAGTTGTATTTAATCAAATTAACTTACTTAAATTATGCTGTAAATTATAATAATTAACTTCAAATTCATTTATTTTACCTGCTATGCATATAAATGAAAAATCTATTTAGAAGTGTTTAACTTTTATCTATTCAGACAATTGTTTAAAAGTAGTACAAATAATCATTATATGATTATCTTCAAAAAATTTTAATGAATATAAAATATAATAATTATTAATTAATAACTTTAATAATAATATTTTAAATTAATACTTTATTTATCTTACTTAAATGCTTTACATATTCACAGAAATTATTAATATTTCATGCATAATTGTAAATAACTCCAAGAATTCTATAATTCTGAAGATAAATTTCTTTTTAGATTTTATTAATATAGTATCAAAGATGATCAGCATTATTTAATGAAACATAAATGTCAATAAGATACTCAGTATCAAAATATGTTTTAATAAGATTTCCTAATAAATAAAAAGCATTTATATTTAAATTAAATTATATTTAAAATAATTAAATTTTCTAATAAAATTTAATATTAAAGTTACCTGATATAATGTGAGTTGATGTAACATTTATGGTATTATTATTTGCTTAATAAATTAATTTAAATAATCAAGTACGAATAGTTATTAACATATAGTTAGGTGAAGATGATGGGTGAGAATGAATGCCTTTAAATACAAGAATCATATATAGGCATTTTTCTATATCTAATGAAATTATTTTGTAATATTTAACTTCACATTATTTTCAAATTATAGATTCTTGTTTAATAATATTTCTTGCACAATGTGGATATAAATAAAATTATAAATAAATTATCTTAATTTAATATTAAATTAATATTTATTTTAAAACTTATAATAATATATAATTTTTTTAAATTATTATGCAATACTATAGAACAATTATTTACTGGTTTATATAAATTACCCTAAATAAAATATTTAATAAAATAATTAACTTAACAAAACAAAATTTAAAATTAAAAATACAACCTCGTATAATACATCTAAAAGTAAACGGAGTTTGTTAAGATCTATATTTTCCTTAATACTAATAAACCAGTAAAACTTTTCATTTATTTTCATTTAGAATAACCAATAAAATAAGATGGTAATACTACTTCATTATAGTGTTGAAAATATTTTAACGTAAGGTTTTCTGGTACATTACTTTACATTTTACATATATCAATATTTAGTTTTATATGCTACTAAATATACACTAAATAAAATAAATTAGTTAAAATGATCATTACTATAAATATTTAAATTATACAAGTAATACTTACACAAATGTATTATTTTCTACATTATTAGTTAATAGATCTCTATTCATTTTTAGATATAAATCAGAATCTGGATTTACTAATACATGATTCATTTTTTAAGTTCTGAACTTGCAAATTCACATATTTTTAGCCCTTGACAAGTTTTATTTTTTTTATGTATAGTAACTACTAGTCGAATGATGACAATAGAGAACCAATCGGTCAAATCTGAATTGTTAGATTTAACTTAATTGGTCTCCTATTTTTTTGTTTTTTTAGAATCAAGTGATTCTGATTAATGACAAATAATAACGCAGATAGGATACAATAAAGTTTCAATTAAAGATGAGCACCATAATTAAGAAGTTGTAATTCCTTGTAAATTTATTTAATATAAAAATTCATAAATAGTTGCAACTAGTTAAAAATTTTAAAAATAAGTATTGAAATCATCTTTAGTTTCAATCAAAATATTATAAAGATATCAATAGGGTTATTCTTATTAATATCAATTTATTAACATCTAGTTTCTAATTAGTTTATCCCTAAGTCATCAATAGGGATATTTTTATTGTTATCTATTATACAAATAGCATATCCTGAATAGTAACATTTTATCAAATTTTTATTATCAGGTAATTTTATAATTATTTATTTTATACAAGTAAGTAATCCCGATTAATTACAATAAAAAGAATTTTATTATTGATATGATTTACATTAATATAATACTTAATTATAAGAAAAGTACATTTATAAATAATAAGCTTTCGATTGTTATAAATTAATTAAATTGCTATATTTGATAAGAAAAAAAATCTGCTCCTATTAAAGAAAGAAAAAATTAGTAAAAATCTGATAAAATATCACTAAAAAAGTTCTGATTTGTAGACTTACCTTAGCCAATAAGCAAAAAAAGTCCATTCTTATTAAAAAAGAAAAATTAGTAAAAATTTGAAAAAACTATCATTCTGATTTGTAGACTTATTTTAATAGCAAAAAAGTCTACTTCTATTAAAAAAAGAAAAAAATAGTAAAAATTCAAAAAAACAACAATATAAAAGAATTTATATTTGTAACGTACCTTAGCTAATAAACAAGAAAAATACACTCTTAATAATAAAAAAAAAATTAGTAAAATCTAAAAAACCATTATCTTAATTTATAGACTTACCTTAACCAATAGCAAAAAAATCTACTACTATTAAAAAAAAAAAAAAAATAGTAAAAATCCAAAAAACAATAATAAAAGAGTTCTGATTTGTAATATATACCTTAGCTAATAAGCAAGAAAAATCCACACCTAATAAAAAAAGAAAAAAAATTAGTAAAAATCTGAATATTACCATTCTGATTTGTAGACTTACCTTAATCAATTGCAAAAAAATCCACTACTATTAAAAAAAAATAGTAAAAATCCAAAAAATAACAACAAAAGAGTCCTGATTTGTAATATAACTTAGCTAATAAGCAAGAAAAATCCACTTCTAATAAAAAAAAAAAAAAAAATAGTAAAAATTCAAAAAATAACAACAAAAGAGTTCTGATTTGTAATATATCTTAGTTAATAAGCAAGAAAAATTCACTCCTAATAAAAAATATAAAAAAATTAGTAAAAATCTAAAATCTATAAAAAAAAGCTATTTAACTTATCCAAAAGAAAAAAGATTTGGTGAAAAAATAAGTAAAAAACTGAAAAATATCTTTAAAAAGTCCTAAAAAGCCATTTACTGTATCTTATTCAAAAGAATAAATGTTTACTATAAAAAAATATATATTACAGCTTGCAAAATTATGCGGTTACCCTGTGATTTTTCAGTTTGATATTTTAATTTTTTATATTCTGATGATAATACTAACTCTAATATTAAGGCAATATCATAATAATAAACGTGTTATTTAATTGTATATGTAATACATTTACATATTTACTTGTAATATTTTACATAATGGAATATTCACGTTTAAGTAAAAGATATAAAAAAGTTAATAATTCAAAAGTTTTTTGCTAGATAGACTTAGTATTTCACAAATTTTCAGTAAATGTTATATATCAAAAACTTTAGTTAAAGATATAAGAAAGTGTTACAAAAAATATCACTAGT